GCATATAGCTGCTTGGGTGACAGTCATGGTTTCTTTGGGGTATATTCCCAGTAATGGAATTGCTGGGTCAACTGGTATTTCTATTCGCAATTTTTTGAGAAAGCACCACACTTCCTTCCATAGTGGTTGCACCATTTTACACTCCCACCAGCAGTGAATAAGGGTTCTAGTTTCTCCACAACTTTGCCAGCTTTTATTGCTTGCTGTTCTGTTAAATTTTGCTATTCTTACTGGGATGAGATGATATCCCACAGTTGTTTTGTGATTTATTTTTTAAAGTTTCTGATTTCCCATCTATAAAAAAGACTATTAATTTCTTCACCTCAGAGATAGTTACATGGATTAAATAAGATAAATCATGTAAGTATCTTAGCATAGTGCCTACCATAAGGTAGCCCTTAATAAATACTGACTATAAAAATTTATTATTATAAAAAGGAGCCCTAGTGGCATAATGTTTTAAGCACTTACCTACAAATTAAGAACAGTGAATTATTTGAACTTATCAGCTGTTCTGTGTAAGAAAGATGAGGTAGTCCACTTCCATAAAGACAGCAACCTCAGAAATTCTGTGGGCTTTTCTCCTCTGTCCTACAGAATTACTATGAGTTGGAATTATCGACAGCAGATTTTGTTATAAGTACTATTATGTCACTATATTCAATGTAAGGGCATTCTTGTTGTCTCATTGATAAGAACATTGTGCTGTCAACCAAATGGCAAGGGGTTCAAATCCATCAGTAGTCCCACAAAGTGATCTGTGCAATTTACAGCCTCTGAAAACTTGCCAGAGGGTTAGCTCGGAGTTGACTTGACAACCATGAACAATAAAACAACAACATACTTACATGAGTAATAGTTGACTCAGTGGCGGTTAACAACATATTCAGTAAATAATTAACACAAAATGAGCTTCCATTTAACTTCAAGAAAGAAAGATAATGGAAGAGAAGAAGAAATGGAAAGAAATGAAATTGGAAATGTCTTTCAATTGTTTGAAAGCAAAGATAGAAATCATTTTAAGAATGCTGGTGTGGCATTAAGGACTGAAAGAAAAATTAAGAGACTAGTGAGGGGTAAAGAACCAAAGTGATAGGGGGACTGATATGTTCTAAAGTTAAAGATAAACTGCTTTCCTTATAGATTGCCATTCATATTTAGATGGAGGGCACAAGAGCAAATTATATTTATACTACAGTGGGCATAAGACTAATGGATCTTTGCCTTTGGAAATGCATACTCATTACTCTATAATTACTTTTTCACAAAACACATTTAGGGAGACTATCCACTCTCTAAACAACATGCCTCCACAAACTCTATGAACTTTAATAAATGTCAATAGTTGTAGAGGGGCTTCAGGCCTTTTGTTCCTAGGGTCGCTATGAGTTGTGCTCAACCCGAAGGCAATCATCATCAACAACAATAACATGCTTGTTACTGTGAGGAATACAAAGAAGTGGAAGAGACAGACCTTTCACTCTGCTTAGTGATACTTGAAGCTTATATTCCTGAAAAGTTAAATAATAGTAAATTATTAAGGCCTAAATCCAAAATGCACAGAAAGTATAGATATGCTAACATGCTCATTTTACAGTGTAGATTTCAATAAATGTGATCTGAATTTTGAGTGAACAGGCTAGGCCTAGGATCTGAGATAAGTTTGTGAATAGTTGAAAATTTATACTCTGTTCAGAATGTGATAGTTTTTATTTTTATTTGTTCCTGAAGCAACTAATAAATGAAATGCCAGTGCAGAGGATCTATATGAGATAAGGATGGATAGCAGCTTCGATGGAGAAATATCTGGGTAATATATCCATCTGCAGCCTCAACAAAGTACTTTGAAATTCAGTTCTAGGAAAAGGGGAGCTGCAGAAATGGGTAGGCCCTCTGCTTGTAGAAAATGGTAGAACGTTGGCTGACAGAAGATAAAATATTCTTGGTGTTTCCCTCCAGCAAGGACCATAGTCTTTTTACTGTCAAGAAAATAGAGAGTATGATACTTGAGATAAAGTTTAAAAAAAAATGACCATCAGATCGCTTCTAACTCATGATGTGTCAGAGTACTGTGTAGGGCAGAAGCTCATTGCCAGGCCTTTCTTCCAAGGCACCTGCAAGTTGGACTTGAACCATCAGCCTTCCAGTTAGTAGCCAAGTTTGTTAACTATAACACTCAGTATTTATAACTACAGTATACTTAACCATCTTAAAACAACTCAAGTCCAGATATATTATGTATTAGAGACTAAAGAAAGATATAGTTATTGTAAGAAGCACTGCTAACTATCTTTTATGTGTTACAGATAGGAGAAGTAACCAGAAAATAACACTAGGATAAAAAGGACAGAAAATAGAAGTAGATTTTACACCTTCAGATATCTGGCAATTAAAACTTCTCCAAAAAAGAAAAAGCTTTAAATGTATCTTTTTCTTAGCAAGAATGTATACAGCATCTAGCTCAGTGTTTCTCAGGGTTGGATGTTTTATGGAAACCTCTTCTGCCATGAAGGGTGTTTTACAGCATCCTTCATCCCTACTCACTACAAGCTGATGTTTACCCTTCCCCTTCCCCTCATTGTGACAGTTGGCGATGTCTTCTGACATTGTCAGCTATCCTCTTGGCAAAATCACCCCTCTCTGGGCTAGATGAGGCTCTTTTAGGTTTACTAGAGTACTTCTTGGTGAGACATTAGGAAAATACTCATTCAGGCAGATACGGTGCCACAAGCCCCACATTCCACGTCGTACCACAACAGGCCTTTGACCTGCCTTTTTCATAGACTTTAAAATTTGGACTGTCAACTCATTTCCTCCTACCCCTTCTCAATTCCCAGAAGGTTGGGATTTCAAGAGGAGGTAAAAGATATATCTTTGTGGGAATGCTTCATTGGGAGAACTTGGCCTGATTGTTGAAAAGTGGGTAGGATTTTAGTAATCAGAAGAAGCACGTTGGCGCAGGATGGTGGTGCACAGCATTAATCAAGATGTGGAAAGAAAAAATTCACAAGAATCATTTCAAGGGAGTAATAGATCTGTTTTTCTGTAATAGAAAATAAATGTGTATTTCTAGTACATCTACATATGAAAGTCATGGTTTTCTTTTCCAAGGTTGTTTCTCCTTCTTACTACATCTCAAGTGTCTTTACTCCACATCCCTGCCATTTCATTCTCACATCGTCCTCTATTCAGACATAAATCCATGAGTTGAGCTCTCAGTGCCACTCCCCTGCAGTTTTCTTCCCTTTTTCTCAAAGGTGTCATATACTCTCATCTGTTCTCTTTGCCTCCCTTTCTTCTGCTTGCTGTTTCTTCTGCCGTCAGCTAACTCTGTCATCCTCCTCTGCACCTGGCACTCTCCCATGTCAAGCCCTAGTCCCGCCCTTTGCCTGAGTCATTTGCTCCGCCTGGACTGCTGTAGATGTCTCTCTATATATAAGTACACTTGGAATTTACTGGGATTGTGGCCCCTGCCACATGATTGGGATTGGGGATCCCCCAAGGACTGAGTTTTGCTCACCTTTATAGCATCCAATCTTTGCATATTATCTTCTTGTTGTTGTTGTGTACTGTAGAGTCGAAACCAACCCATAGCTGACCCTGCAGCGGGTTTCCATTGACAGTAATCACACAGGAGGAGACTGCCCATCCTTCTCCTAGGCATCACCTTCTCTTAAACATCCTGAATTCGTTTGGAAATCTTTTGTAAAATGAATTTGGTTTATTTTAATTCATGGCCAAGATGTATTCAGTTCAAATAAACTATGAAATGTTAATATATTTTCTATCACATTCTGAAGTATCATGTAAGTATGAAATAGTTTTTTATTCCCTCTGAATGGTTTATTCTTAGCAAATTATTGGGGTGAGAATTTTACTCTATCAGTTAATCATAAGGAAATTGGACTTCCAAGGGTACTTGTTAACAAAAAACTATAAAACATGCTTATAGTCTGGTACCACGAGTCTAATCTAAATGGCATTTTTCAAACTATTTTGTGCCAAGAGAAAGTTGTTAATGGTTATGCTGGAGAAAAGGTTTGTTATCAGAGTATATTAAATTGTATATCCCCTCCTAAAGATCCACAATGTGCTTGGACCAATTAAAGGCTCATAAAATTACTGCAGAAAAGAAATCTATTTCACCTTGTATAACCTATAATTTTCCAATACTCAACACAGCACAGCATGCTCTTTTCCTGGCACATCTATTAATATCTGCAGAACAATGTTCTTTAGAACACCAATTTGAGAAATGCTGGTCTAAAGTAATTACTTCTTCTAGTTAAATAAATAGTCCATTTTCTCAGACCATTTGTTTCTTACATAATTCTCTTCTGCTCATAAAATCACACTGAATTTTTCCCAGCATGTCCCCACCAAACAGGCACCTTCCAATTGAGAGGTACTTCAACTTTTCCATTCATCTTCTGGAGCCTTCTAGAATACGTCCGTATGCTTAACTAATTTACAGTCTTTTAAGACCCTAAAAAAAAAAAAAGACCCTCAGTTGATGCTTTTTTATTGTACTTAGTAGAATTAACTAAGTATTAACATGATTTTAAATGTGTGATTATATGTGAATCTACATGCACATCTACTGCCACACATATATTCTGTGTTTAAATGTTCTGCCGCATTTAGTTTTCATCACATTGTCAGTATGAGATGTTGTGTACTATCAGGTTGATTCTGATGTATAGCAGCCCTTTTTCAAAGAGTGGGACAGCCCCTTTAGTTTCCTAGACTGTAGTCTTTATGGGAGCACATTGCTATGCCTTTATCTCAGAGCAGATGGCAGGTTTTAAATGCTGACTAGCAGGAGAGCACTTAACTATTGTGCCACAAGGACTGCTTAGCATTAGAAACTGCAAGCCTTTTAGGAAATAATCTTATTCGACCTGCAACTCTAAGACTTTTTAATAATCAATCGAAAGTTCATGAAGGAGTAATGGCCATGTTTGTGCATATAAGTGATAATTGCATTTGTTTTTCTCTAGTTGATACACCAAAATCGACAAGCTATCTTAAATCAGTTTGCGGCAACTGCTCCTGTTGGAATCAACATGAGATCAGGCATGCAGCAGCAAATTACACCTCAGGTAATGTGAGAAAAGCAGGTGGTGTTAGGACTTCTGTGACCCAAGCAGTATTTCTTAATGGGTTGAGTTTATGTGAAGTGGGCTGTGCGCTAATCTTGTAATGGTACTTGTAGTATAGCTTTCTTCCAGAATGAATTAATGATCTGCTTTCAGTATTTCTTATTAATATTTAATCTGAAGCTGACAGTTCTTTGTTTTAGTTGTTATTGTCATTACCCCCGAGAGGCAGGCAACTCAATAGAAAACTACTTGCTGCACTGAAGAGTAATGGTAATAAGAAACCCAAGTTATAACCTGTGTGAATAGTACCTGAAACCTGATCAAAACCCTGTTATGTTGCTAAGTTGTCTTAATTAACTACCTTGCGTCCTCTACTCATTCTGAATGTTAGCATCTCATAGCTTTTATTTATTTTAATGATTCTGTGTATAATCCCAGAGCTGTTGAAAGAAGAATATGTAAAGAAGAATTAGGTAGTTCTCTAAGCATTATCTAGTTATCACTTCCAGCTTTAATTCCATATATTCTTTAGTATTTCTGCTTCAACCACGTATTTATGTTTTTTAAGCAAGTTGATAACAAAAATTGGGAAATGAGGACTTTTATAGAGCATTCAATCAAAAGTCTTGTCTCATAAATAGTTCTAAAGGGATTTAGGGCAAAACAGGGAACCAGCCCTAAACAAAGGGATAAATTATTGAGAGCTGGCAATAAGTAGCACATACTGACTTCTCTAAGGATATGGACTTTGGGTTTACCTGACCTATAAATTGTAAACCTTAGTAGTTAGCCCATAAAAAGTCATAGCACACTTAAACGCTTGGTTGCTGGTGCTTGATGAGCAATTTAAACTTACCACCCAGCCTCTCTCCCAGGGGAAAGGGATGAAAGTCACTTTCATAAAACTCTTGTTGTGTGACATCAAGTTGGAACCGACCTATAGCTGAGCCTCTAGTGGGTTTCAGAGGCAGTAATCACCCAGGAGAAGACTAGCCATCCTTCTCCCTGAGAGTGGCTGGTGGATTTGAACGGTGTGCCTTCAAGGTTGCAGTGAAGATTCTTACCACTGGGCCACCAGAGCCTTGAAAACACTCTGGTAGTTCCAGTCTGTCCTGTAGAGTACCTGTGAGTTGAAATGCACTGGATAGCAACAGGCTAGCTGGCTTATGCAGGAATAGTTAAGTTGTAAAGATACATGAAACTACTTTTAGAATTAACATAAAGATTTCAATCAGAAAATTGTATCACTGTTTCTCCAGAGTGCACTGTAGCCAGCTGACAAGTTTACTTTTAATGGGCCTAAGTGCTTTGATCAGATCCTCAGTCTGAACTGATACTTCTAAGGAAGACTTCCTTGATAAGCCATTTTTCTTTCCTTGTAAGACTGAAAAATTACTTCAGACTTACTTTGTATTTCTTTACTCATCCACAATATTATTTCTGTTAAGTCCCTTTAATGCTTGGAATGATTTCCCTGCCATAACGATACCAGATAGCTGTTTCCATATGTTATTTTATTTCTAATTGATAATTTTCTTTTTTAAGTTGTAATTTGTTTGACACTGGGTCCTGGGTTTCTGAGTCTTCCTTTTTTAATGGTATTTCTAGAGTTTTCTGATTGCAGAAGTAATGTTATATTCATTATAGGCAATTTGGGAAATGTAGAAAAGCATAATGAAGAAAATTAAAATCACTAGTAATTGCATTTAATTCCGTTAAAATGGAATAAGTTATTTTAGTGAGGGAAGGAGGAAGCTATCAGCACAGTAAATTTTTGGAAATGAGGGGGGAAAGATAAGACCTCCTGAGAACATATTATCAGATAAAATTTTTTAAAAAAATCATATTTTCCCCCTCTTTCTTGTGACTATTATGTTTTACTTAACAGCTTTCATGCCTAAATTACTCTATGAATCAATACACATTCTCTTTGACATTTCTTAGTTCTGTGTGACTTTTAATTGGAAATTTGGATTTTACCAACTCTAGTGATCAAACAACAGTGATAGTTAAATACATGGATGGTGCAAACTTTCTGCCCTTGTTCATCTGACTAACCAGGCAGCACTGCAGAAGCAAGGCCTGGCTGTTTTCTTCCAGGAGATGTGTTATTTGAGGTACAGTTGTGTTGACTCCAACCCACAGCAGCTCACGTCAGTGGGACGAAACCCTGCCCAATCTGGTGCCATCCTGTCTCTGTTGTTTGCAGCTGCTGTGTTAGTCTCCTCATTGAGGGTCTTAATTTCCTTTGATTACCCTTTACTTTTCCAAGTATGATGTCTTTTCCCAGGCACATTCCTCTCATGGTCACATACCCACGTATATGAGATGACGTTTCACCATCCCTGCTTCTAAGGCGCATGGTGGTTCTACCTCTACCATGGCAAACTTGTTTGTTCTTTTGGTAATCCATATTCATAACTTTTTGACAACCCCATACTTCAAAGGAATCAAGTCTTCATTCTTCCCTATTCATTGTTCATCATTCACATGCTTATAAATCAACTGAGATTCATAAGATTTAAAGACCTTTATTTTCAAAATAACATCTTTGCTCTTTAGCACTTTATAAGAGGACCTTGGCAGCAGATGTGAAAATGGGTGGAGCACAGTTCTGCTCTGACACATGGGATCTTAGTGGGTCAGAACTGACTCTGTGGCAGGAATTTTCATTTGAGTTTAATCATCAGATGGTGTGTAAGCATTTCTCAGCTGCCTTTAATCTGCAAACTCATTTTCTCTTTATTACTAAAAAAGTTTTTGTTCCTTTTGTCTTTAACTTCTCTAGCATATGGTTGTGGTGGTTGTTAAATGTTACTGAGTCGAGTATGATTCATGGGGTCACTATGAACAACAGACCTGACCCCTTTCCTGTCTTGTGTCCCTCACAATCTCTGACACATTGAAGCCCATTGCTGCAGTCAGTGTGCCAATCCACTCATTGAGGGGCTTCCTCTCTTTTGCTGACCCTCAACCTTTGTAAGCATAAAACCACTTTCAAGGGAATGGCCTCTCCTAGCAACATGCCCAAAAGAAGTGAGATGAAGCTTCGCCATCCTTGCCTCCAAGGAGCACTGTGGCTGCACTTTTTCCAGACCAGAACTGTTTGGGGTTCTTTGCAGTCTGTGGGATGGTCAGTACTCCTCTTCAAAACCACAACTCAAAACATCAATTCTTTCATCCTTACTCATCGTCCAGCTCTCAAATACATAGCAAGTGATGAAAAGACTATGGCCTGCATCAGGCACACCTTAGTCTTCAAACTGACATCATTGCTTCTCAGTAATTTGGAGAGATCTTTGACAGCAGAATTGCCCAGTTCAGTACATTTCCTGATCTCCCGATGGCTGGCATCAAGGGTGTTGATTGTGAATCTCCATAAGATGAACTCGTTGACAATTTCAGTCTTTTCTACATCTAGCATGATGTTTCCTGTCGGTCTAGTGGGGAGGATTTTTGTCTTCTTGATGTTGAAATGTAATCCGTTTTGCAGGTGATTGTCTTTGATTCTCTGCAATACATATTTCAAACCCTCCTCACTTTGAGCAAGCAAGGTTGTGTCATTTGCATAGCACAGGTTGCTGATGAGTCATCCTCCAATCCTGTTGCCGTGTTCTTCTTCGTAGAGACCAGCTTCTTAAATAATATGCTCAGCATTCAGATTGAATAGATATCAAGAAACTGTAAAACCCTGATGTACACCTTTCCTGATTTTAAACCAGGCAGCTGTTGGACAACAGCTTCAGCTTCTTGGTCTAGATCTAGGTCTATCGTGAGCACAAATAAGTGTCCTGGAATTCCCATTCTTCTCAGTGTTAGCCTATAGTTTGTTATTATCCACACGTCTAATGCCTTTGCATAGTCAGTAAAACACAAATAGATATTTTTTTCTGGTATTGTCTGCTTGCAACCAGGATCTGTCTGACATAAGCAGTGATATTCTTGATTCTGTGGCCACTTCTAAACCAAGCTTGAACTTCTGGCAGTTCTCTGTCAATGTACTATTCTGGCTGTTTATTTTAATGATTTTCAGTATTTTGCTTGCATATGATACTGTTTATAATTTCTACTTTCTATTGGATCTTCTTTCTTGGGAATGGGAATGGGAACAAACACAAATCTCTTCCAACTGTCCTCCAAATTTCATGGCATAGACTGGTGAGCAAGTCCAGGGCTGCTTCTGTTAATTGAAACATGTCAACTCGTATCCCATTAATTCCAGGGACCTTGCTTCTTTGCCAGAGCTTTCAGTGCAGCTTGAACTTCTTGCTTCATTACCTTTGGTTCTTGTTCATATGGTAGTTACTTCTTGAAACTTTTCAGTGTCAACCAGCTCTTGAAAAAGGTAGTCTCAAAGATTGAAGGCAGAGATTCTAACCTCTTAAGTGAAGATGGGGTCTCACTCTTGTCCCAAGCACTAGGACCAAAAACCCAGCTGAGCCACTGTCTGTGACATAATACCCCCATCCATGACCTCAGCCTGCCAGGCCACCACAGGCCTCTGGCTAGGCCAGAGAAGGCTGTCTTATATGTCCATCATATTCATATACCTGATTGTCTTTGCGGTTTGCTTTTAGAGCTGCATCATCTGTCTGTCAGCTCATAGTACTGGAGGAATGATTTGTATGTTTCTAATTGCTTTGTTGCTTAGGTCTACAAATCTTTACGTCTTATTAGCACAGTGTTTGTCTGTCAGTTTGCTGTCAGTATACCGATAATTGTTATCTATTCAGTTGACACAGGGTACAGGCATTGTCTCATACATTTTTCAAGGGAGGTGATGATGATCATTTTAATGACTGAGGGTATTTCCTCTCCCTTGCAGCCACCTCTGAATGCCCAGATGTTGGCACAGCGCCAGCGGGAGTTGTACAGTCAACAGCATCGACAGAGGCAGCTAATACAGCAGCAGCGGGCCATGCTTATGAGACAACAAAGCTTCGGGAACAACCTCCCGCCCTCATCTGGACTGCCAGTTCAAATGGGGAACCCCCGTCTTCCTCAGGGTGCTCCACAGCAATTCCCCTACCCACCGAATTATGGTACAAATCCTGGAACCCCGCCTGCTTCTACCAGCCCATTTTCACAACTGGCAGCAAACCCTGAGGCTTCCTTGGCCAACCGCAACAGCATGGTGAACAGAGGCATGGCAGGAAACATGGGAGGACAGTTTGGCACTGGAATCAATCCTCAGATGCAGCAGAATGTCTTCCAGTATCCAGGATCAGGTATGAGGGTCATGACTTTATAAAGTAATGCGTACAATTTGAGGTCTCTCGACACACACATTTCAGTTCACTGACATTGAAGCAGTATGCCCAGGAGGGAAGCTACTCACTGAGGGCCAGGAGAGCCAGGAATGCTTAGATACAGTTGAATCGAGATGAGCATCTTATTTCAGGTTGATAGCTCAGAAAACAAATTCAACTCAAACTTACTGCCTTCAAATCAGAACCGATAGGGGACACACACACACACACACACACACACACACACACACACACACACAGTGAGTTTCCAGAGACTATAAATTACACAGCAGGAGATTGCCCATCTTTCTTCTGCTGCAGAACAGGATTTGAAACACCCGCCTTTGAGTTACCCACCAGGCCACCAGAGCTCACAGATAGCTAGGATGATTAAATTTGAGGATCCCTAAGAGTCCATCTAACTAAAATTTTACAGTAAGCACTTGACTAGTAGCCAGAGCCTGCCACTTGAAATCCTCGCAGAGGTAGTATGGGAGATAGGCACGAGGCTTTGTTTCTGGAAACCCCTGAGGAGCAGTTCTCCTGTGCACACATGGGGTCACCTGAACTGGAATCAATAGCATATGCAAAGCACATTCTCTCATTTTGTTACTTTATGAGGATCCTATGAAAATATAATGAAAATTCTCCACAGATAGTGGAGTTTTAAGCACATGCATACAATTATCCCATTGCCCTGGAGATTTTTTTTAAATATATCATCTACATAAAGATAATCAGTCTTCACAAAGAATTGTATCCAGTTCCTCATTGGTAGCTTCACTCCTCATATTTCGTTTGTAACTTCCTCTGCAAAGACATTCTGCTTTCTGCCTTCTTTAAAGCTTTTGTTTGTCTTTAATCTTTTGTTTGTACTGTCTCTCTTTTACTTTTTGTTCTAAGTGAAGTTATTTTAAATTCTTACTGTCATTTTGTTGAGATTCTAGAGGTAGAGGCAATAAAAAACATACTAATCAATGGCTAATCAAACTCTTAACATAAGATTAATGACCAATTTTTGAAATAAATTCCTTGATTGTATAAATGATAGAAAAAGTAAATTTCAAGGCTGCTTAAAAGTGGATTTCAGCAAGAAGTCTCCTGTTTGACTTGAATACGAGTTATGCAGAGATTTTTGACATGGCAATATGCTTATCAACTCTGACAGCCTAATCAGTGTAGACATTTCATTCTGATGGCAACAAGTGCTGAAATTCTTTGACTGTTAAATTAAGTATCGAGGCAGGCTTGTGCCAGAGTGCGCCAGAATTCTCTAAGACATTATAATTGAAATTATGCCACATCAATTCCTTTGTCCTCAAGACAATGAAGTCATTTTTGGCTGGTTTGTATTACTGATTGTATCTGTGTGAGAGAAAAGGACTATAAATCCATGTTTTAATTATAAGTCTGTCTGATCAAGAGTGGGCTTCAGGAGCATTATAATTCCCTGTATGTCTTATACAAGCATGCGAATACTTTGACTGTAGAAGTGTTTCCTCCACCACCAGCAGGCTGACTTGCTCTAATGCCCAAAGTAGTATGTCTCTATAATAATGGTAAAAATGACTGTTCCCATTTATTATTTTCTTTCTAATTACAGTCTTTTCCTTTTAAGAGCTCATTTGTTTGACATTGGAGCCTGGGTTTGTGAGTCTTCCTTTTCTAGTGGTATGTGTAGGGTTTTTTGATTGGAGGAGGTAATATATAGTCATTGTAGGTAATTTGGAAAATGTAGAAATGCATAATGAAGAAAATGAAAATCACCTGTAATTGCATTTTATTCATTTAAGTAGAATGGGCTAAGTGATTTCATTAAGGAAAGGGGGAAATTATAAGCACAGTAAATTTCTGGCAATAAGAACAAGGTCTCCTAATAGCTGATGTCAGGTAAGTTAGCAAGCACCTGTTCTTTCTCTTCCTCATGGTTTTCTGTTTCCCTTATCAGATTCATAGCCTCAATTAATAATAATAATATATTCTTTCCTGACTTTTCTTTATTCTCTGTGACTTTTAATTGGAAAATTGCATCTAACTAGTTCTAATGGTCCGATAAAGAGTGACACATGAGTCGAGCACCTTTTCTGCTCACAAGAGTTGGTAGTTCCAACCCACCGATCAGCTCTGTGGGGGAACAGCCTGGCAGCCTGCTCCTAGACAACTGAAGCCTGGAAAACTCTCGGGATGGTTCTGTCACCTGAGGTCATTAAGAGTTAAAACTCAGTCCAACAACAATAGCAACAGTCAGGTAGGGCCCCACGTGATACACACAGCTTGTCCTTGGCTATTAAACCCCTAAATGGACCATTTGAATCCAACCAGCAACAAAAAGACCTACTTCCTTTAGATTTTTATTCCCTTCTAAACCTTGACCAAAAAAACTGCTTTCCACAAAATAGGGCATTTTCTTTCATGAAGTCAGCATTCACATCACAGACAAAAAAAAATGCTGGGAAGAGTGAAGAGAACATTAGATACAGAAATGAAATGACAGGGTTATCAATTCTTTTGTTAAATGCCTCAAAATAATAGGGGGAAATAGTAGTTTCTCTGGATAGCATGAGAACATTTTAAAATGCATTGAGTTTTATTTCTTCCTCATATCCAAAGTCTGTTCAAGGATAATCAACATTCTCGTAGAAGACTTTGAGGCTTTGAGAGCAGGTCTTGTGTTGGAACAAATTCAGTTCTCGAAAATGTTCCACCTTTCAAGTCAAGTTGCCTTTTTTTTTATTTTTATTTTATTATTTTTTGTGCATGTACCATCAAATCAGATCTGACTGGTACAGGAGGAGATTGTCTCGCCTTCTCCAGCAGAGCATCTGGTGGATTCAAACCACATACCTTTGGGATTGCAGTGCAGCTTCTTGCCACTAGGCCACCAGAGCTCCCTTCAAGTCAAGTTGCTTTTTAAAAAAACAAAACCTGCTTATTCTATCTTAAAGAAATCCAATATAAGAGTTCACACACACACACACAAAAAAAAAGAAAAGATGTGTCCCCCACCATGTTGCAGAGGTCAGCAAATTTTGATCCAGGCTTTATCCAGACCAGTTCTTGTTTTTGCGAATTAAGTCTTTTTGGACACATAACCATAATTACTTACTTATATTCTATAGATGGCTGGTTTTACACAGAATAGTTGAGTGGTGGTTAGAGTGACCTTATGACTTAAAATATTTACTCTGTCAGCCTTTGAAGAGAAAGTGTGCTGTTCTCTGTGTTAATTGACAACAATATCTTTTGGAGGAGGCTGTTCACGCTTTTTTGTTTGTGTTTTTAATTTTTTTAAATTTTATATGGTTTACTTACAAAGTTCATAAAATTCATACGTTGTTTTTCACACTGGATCTTTGTTGTACATTCTCTGCATTGACTTATAGGAGCCGGAAGGTGATGACACTGTGTGTCCTATTTCTGAAAACAGTAAACTCTTCTAGACTATCATGTCATGATGATGAGTGAGGATGAACAGGCTTAGATCTTTTAAAAAATTATTTTGTTTCAAAGTAAATATGAAAGAAAACACAAAACGTGTGCCCACTATATAAGTTCTTCGATGTTCGTCTAAGACTTCTGTAAACTCTGGTGAATACCCTCTTCTCTTCACTCCTGAGGGATCTTACCTGCTTTTGTGCTTCAGTGGCCTCTCCATGCCAGTGGCCCCTTTCTCTCTCTTTAAGCAGGGTCTTTCAGCTTATGTGTACAGTTGACCTATTGACTATCTTACGAGAATCCCAAGCTCAGTCAGCTAGCTCAAAGCTCGACTCATCAACTCTGCTTTCTGCCCTCTGCATGTTTCTGTGTCTCCACAGCCACAACAAACTTAACCACATTCCTAGAAAGACACCATATCTTGCTTCCTTTTACCTCTAGGCCTTTGCACATCCTGTGCCCTGTCTTAAATAGCTTCCCCTCACCTCATTCTCATTACTATCTCCCTGGAAGATCGTCTCAGACACCTGCAGCTGTAAGCACTCCCCACTCTACTAGAACTACTTGCTAGCCTTCCTGCTCCTCATCTTAAATAACAGTCTCCTTGAATGAGCGAAGTGTGACCTTCTGCATTTTCATTTCTCAAGTGTGTACCGTAGAAAGTGGATGCTCAATGAGTCGTTGAAGAAATAAATTAATGGGAGTATGAATGTTACTCCTACTTTCTGCTTCCAAATGGCTATTAGGCCAGTTATGGCCCTGCAGGGAGACGTCACATTTACCAAAGATAGAACTGTAGAATGTTTATGCTAGTAGGAACTTGATCATCTGGTCCAAGGAACTCAGAGTCCAATCTAGTGGCAGAATCAGGGTTGGGATTCTTATCCACCCTTCCAGTTAATTACCTGTGGATTTTCTCTTTATTGAAACTCAATCATCTGATAAGACATGAATGGTTCCAATGAGATGAGGCCAAACTAATACTGAAAAAATTGAAAATACAGAATTAATGCTGATGCAATCTACATAAAAATGATCATGGGAAAACTTAAAAATCATAAACAAGCACAGTATTTCTCCAAATAGTCTACACCTGACTCATAGCAGTCCTCTAAGATAGAGTAGAGCTGCTCTGTAAACTTTGCAAGACTGTAATCTTTCTATCCCCCCATCTTTTTTTTTCTTTTACATTGCTTTACATACAGAGTTCATCTACATTGTGGTTTACACTATCCTTCATTCACATTGTGTTTTCATGCAATCATTCACTATGCTTAATAAAATCAATCACCATTAAACTATGCCCATCACTACCCTGTCTTTCCAGATCCCCACTGGATCTTTCCTGTTTCCTTTACCCCCACTCCCAAATTGTGTGACCCTATAATTTCCGCCCCCATCCACCCTCACTGCTCTGTTCCCACTCCTTCCTCCACCAGATCCCTATACATGTTTTACAGTAACATTCCTGAGTTAGTTCACTCAGCATAATGCCCTCTTGTATCTCCCAAGTTGTGTAGTCATTTACAAAATCTCTGCTCCTGAGTGCTGCATACTATTCCATCATTTGAATGTACCACTATTTCTCAGTCTGTTTGATTGTAGTTGGACATTTGAGCTATTTCCATGTTCTTGCGATTGTGAATAATGTTGCTATGACCATTGCTGTACAGATCTCCATTTGTGTCAGTTCCAATTTCCTTGGGGTATATTCCATAAAGGAGAATAGCTAGAATTTCTGTGTTCAGCTTTTGGAGCAAACACCAAGTTTCCTTCCAGAGTGGTTGTACCATTTTATGATCCCACCAGCAATATATGAGTTCCTATCTCTCTATATCCTCTCTAGTATTTATTGCTTGCTGTCCTATTAAACTTTGCCACTGCTTACTGGGCTAAGATGGTATTTCATTGTGGTTTTGATTTGCATCTCTCTTATATTGCCAGTGATTTGGAACATTTCTTCATGTGTCTTTTGGCCATCTGAATGTCCTCTTGTGTGAAGTCTTTCCATGTCGCTTGCCCATTTTGTAATTGTGTTATCAATCCTTTTTTTTGAGGCCCTGTAGGATCCTGTGAACTCTTATTATGAGACCCTTTTCTGAGATGGTATTACGAAACACTTTTTCCCAGTCAGTAGGTTTTCTTTTCACCCTGTTGGAAAAACTCTTTGATGCACACAGAGATTTAATCTTTGGAAGGTCCCATTGATCAGTTTTATCCTCTCCTGGTTGTATGTTTCTAGCTGTGTTTGACAGCCTTTTTATACCATAGGTGAGGCTTTCTGATCTTGGTCCCAGTTTGTTAATGACTATAAAGTTTACGGGAGCCAACAACGACATCTCTCTCCCATGGAACAGCTGGTGACCATGGAATGGCAGTTAAGTGGCCAAGTACTTAATCACAGTGCCACCAAGATTTCATCAGACTGACTTACCAGAAGGTAAATCACATGCAAAAGAAACAGCAATGAGAAAATGTCACCTTATTTCTATAATTTACCAAAACTAATAAATTCACATAAGTATTCAGTGAAAGAACTTAAAAAAGAAGAAAACACAAAAAGTCCACAACAATTTTTACACAATCCAGTGGGTGGGTGGGGTGAAGGAAATGGGAAGGATCTTTTGTGAAAAACAATGTATTCAAACTTTGTAAATAAGTCAGAATAAAAGAAAAAAAGAAACATGAGACACTGATGAGGAAGCAGAATGCAGAATTATGTAATATCTTATAAAGAAAAATTTGAAAGAATTATATGAAATTATGGGTAATCAAGTTATAGCATTCCTTTTTTCTCCCTGTACCTTTGTAATTTTCAGTGCCCCCAAAATATTTAACTGTGAAATTTTTCTTACCAAAAAAACAAAGACAATGTTAGCATAAAAGAAAATTTAAAAAAAAAAACCACCCTAATTTTTACTATGTTAAATTCTTAGGGAATTTCACTTTGACCAAGATAGAGTGACAGAAATTCATCCTCTCACCAATAAACAAACAAAAATATCACACAAAATACATAAACTAACTTTTCTTATGCTTTTCTAGATTGTTCTGCTGAGGGAGAATCTTAAGAGGAACCTGGCGGTTTCTTTGAGTTTCAAGAGTTGGAGGTGGAAATTTGAGGAAGTCAAAGTATCTAGAAGTTGGAGGCAGAGTGTAGAAGGAAGTAAGAGACACAGAGAAAGAACTCTAGGGATGTGCAGAGGGTTCTGTACATGTCAGATGGTTCTATATGTGTGTGCGCGCACACAAAACAAGGCCAGGAAAAGTAATCTAAACATTTAGAGGGAGCAGTGTTCTGAATTCATGCATGGCCAGCAGCTGTTCCTGTTGGTATCAGCTAGAGAAGGAAATAACATAGTTTATGGGTTATCAAACAGAATGTACCAAATGCTTTTGCCTCCACAGTGAGGCACTGCAAGCAGCCTGTCTTTCTAACCCTGATCTTTTCTCGCCTTAGGAAGGATGGCACAAAACCTGTGAGATGCAGTGGGTTTCTGAGAAACCTAACTACTGCCCAGACAAAGGTCAAGAATAGTTAAAACAATTGTAGTTTACAAAGTCAGCCCCTAACAATGTGTAATGAGAAAAATAAGTCACTCAAAAACCAACCCCGACATGACACAGTTGGCAGAATTAAAAAATAGATGTATTAGAATAATTTTAGATTTATTCTTTACAATGAGGATTTTCCAAAGGGATGCCTTATAAGTAGAGATATGGAAGATATAACTAAAGCCAAAGTCAAACTTCTGCAGTTGAAAAATGCAAAATACCCTAGATAGGACAGACAAAGAAAAATCATGAAGATGAAAATGCAACTGTGGAAACTCTCCACAGTGAAACCAGACAGAAAAAAAATAATAATACAAAGTGGTGATTTGCTCCACATTTATCTTACAATCCCATAGTATCACTATTAAAATCTCAGCATACTTTTGGGAAAAAATGTCAAGCTTATTCTAAAATTTATGTGACAGTTCATAGGACCTAGAGTAATCAAAACAGTATTGAAAAGGACAAGCAAAGTCTGAGGAAGAACTTGCTTGAAAGCTACACCCATCAAGGTGTTATAATATTGGTAGACAGACATACAAATCACCAAAACAGAAGAAACATGCAGGAAAAACCCTTATATTATGATCAGGTGGTCTTTGATAAATATATTGATGCCTGATTACTACTGAAACAAAACTACAGGATCATCAGATGTTAAAAAAACATGAGGGTAGATGATAGACGACAGACACAAGCACTCCCTATAATTTTTGTTTGTGTGAAAGTCCCAGACAAGGCCCATCTGCAGAAGCATCAGCTCGCTGGCTGCCTGGGTTAGAGGTGGGAGTGAGACGTGACTGCAGACACAGGAGACCTAGAGGAGAAGGGGAGTGTCTACAGGGATCATGGCACAACGCTGTAAATTTACTAAAAGTCATGGAATCATGCATTTATGCGAGCTGCATTTCATGCTCTGTGTTGAGGGGATGTCTCATTAAAGCAGAGTGGTTTGTTTTTGATTTTTAAGCACAGGAAAGGGAAGAAGCACCCTCCCAAGCAAGAAGGGACCAACGCTTTCTCTCTCTTTTTTTATTTTCACTTTCACACCTAATCTTTTTCCTTTTTCAGTTGTTTTCATTTTTTAGACACTCCTTCATGAATTTTCCTTTTTATATTTGAAAACTGGAAAGAAATCATTTATGATCCTGTTAATTCAAATCAACATTAATGAATGGAAACTATTCTTCCAGATTTCTTTTATATGTGTGTGTGTTTTTATCCCTCTGCTTATTCAAAAATACTGTCTTATCCTTGTTTTTCCTCACTTGATCAAGTATTTCTTTCCTAATATATCGCTTCTGGGTTTACTGTGGTTTGCTTCTCCCCCCTCCTTTCATGGGGTTTGTATAAATATGCCGTGTATTCACATGAATTCATTTATGTCAATTACAGGAATGGTTTCCCAAGGTGAGGCCAACTTTGCTCCGTCTCTGAGCCCGGGGAGCTCCATGGTGCCGATGCCCATCCCTCCTCCCCAGAGCTCTCTGCTCCAGCAGACTCCACCCAGTTCTGGCTACCAATCTCCAGACATGAAGGCCTGGCAGCAAGGAGCCATGGGAAACAGCAAGTAAGGGGGCCCTGTTATATAGAAGCGTCCCTGACATCCTGTAGTACCTAGCTGTCTTTTCTTCATGGGCTGATTGTATTTCCACACTCTTAAGTAAAAGTGGTTTAGTGGTAAGGAAATGCGCTGCCAGCCCAAAGGCTTGCAGTTGGAATCCACCAGTTGCTTCGTGGAAGAAAGACGGGCAATCTCCCATGTAGTTTACTGCCTTTGAAAGCCTGCTGGAGCTATGCGTCGGTTCCAGCTAGATGGTACACAGCAATACAACTTGAGTTGTGTTAGAAAGCATAATGAAAAGAAAAATTGTACTCAGTCCTGTTAAGTATCCATCTTTAAAACAAATAGATGTGTTCACTGTACAGAGAAATAATCAAGTGACTCTAACCTTACCCCCAGTTCCCATCAGTATTAGAGGCCCCCTGGGACAGGTGTAGATGAATGTGTTGTTTAGGAAGTCTTTCTCTAAAACAGCACTTATACATCTGAAATAAGAATAGCAAAATGTTAGAATTCATGCAGCTCCATAGAGGACACATGAGTTTCACTCTTTGTCCATCTATTGGAAAGCTTCCATAACAACACAAGGTTTTAAGACCCTCATGTGGCTCTGCCTTGCCCTCTCTTTGCATCTCTAGATTTTCAGTTGTCTGATTTTACCCAGTTTCCTTAGAATTATCTCACTAAAGTCATTCCTTCCCCACCCCCTGAATTTTGGCTGCTGAACTCTTCACACATCACTTGAGTTTTATAAGGATTTTAATTTGGCTTCTCTCGGTTCTAATGACAGGGAGGCTGTTTGATCTGACAGCATAATAAGTAAGGCAGTTAAAGTTGAAAACTTAAGACTGTATTCTCTTAAAGTTCACTGAGAGGTGAGAGAGGAAATCTTTCTGGTAGGGAACTATGTAGCACTCAGAGAAACCATGTATAAATTAAATGAAAAAGGAAGTGCCTCCCAAACACTTAAGATTTTTGTCTCCTAATGTGTTCTAATTCCAGCTTCCCAAATTCATAATGCATTATTTTGACGGTCCATCAGAACGGCGCTCTCCTCTCCCTACCCAGCCGTCCCTCCGCTGTACCTATGCCTCGCAAACTCTCCTGAGAAATGGCACTAAATTCTCCCTCTGGACTTGCACCTGTGCATTTAAATATGACTTTAGAGAAGGCATAAACACACAGTGAATGCTGGCAAGAGTCCTGCCTAGGACACTTCTCTCTTAGTACAGTTCATTCCTTGAAAGACGATTCTCCACCTATTTCCTCTCCTTTGAATCTTTACTCAGTGGTACAAGCTTTCATCCCTTCCCATCCACCAGAGCGTTCCTGTCAAGGTCCTTCCTGTCCTCGGTAGTGCCACAGCCAGTGGTCAATGGTAGCATTTGACATATTTCATCATTTTCACTTTTTAGCCTTTATTCTTTAGCACCCCACTCCCTGTTGAGTGAATTTTCTCTTCTCAAAAAGATGACTTCTCTGATCTCCTGTCACAGAGTCAGATTTTCTGGATGTTCCTCGTTTCTCTGACACCCAGCTGAGGATGCCAAGGCTTCTGCTAAGACTGCCCTGTGTACTGCTAGCCAGATGATCCACGTCTCAAATCTGCCAAAGAGGGACCATTTCTTCCCATAAAGATTGATTGACAGCCTTGGAAATCCAGTGGAGGGCGACTAGGAGTCAGAATTGAATGGATGGTAGTGGGCTTAGCATGGCTGTATCATTCATATTTAAATTCTCCCCTGAATGCCATAGGGCATGTCCATCTACCTTGTTGACATCTCAGAAGTCTAGTAGGACTGTCAAGTTTAACATGACAAACCCTATGGGGAGCTTCTCCCCAAACCTGGTCCTGTTCTACCTTACCCATGCTCAGTAAAAGGCAGCTCCACCCTCTGGTTATTCAGAAAAAAACTTTTTCTTTCACATCCTACATCAAACCCACCAGCAAGTCATGTGACCTTCAGAATTTCACACTGATTCAGTCTGATTGAATCGTAGTTGACAAAGTGACTCCAGAACTGACCCAAATTATAAAATGTGTACCAGAATAGGAAAAATTAGGGGCTGCCACCCTGCTAGAAACAGAATTCCCTCTTAGAAAGGAATGTACATTGCATAGCAGCCCAGTCTCTTGCCCAGCAGAGAAGATGACAGCCATGCCCGGATTAAAAAGCCAGCCATGCCCAGCTGAATGTGTGTCTCCCCACAGGTTTGGCAATCATCCAGTCACTCACATCAGACTCCTGAAAGGGGCTCTGTGTGCCCCGTCCATGGCTCCCATTCCAGAGTTTTCCCCCATAATTTTCTCCATTCACTTATCATTCCAGTATTCTTACATCTTACATATCTGGATCTTTTCTGGTGTTACCATATTGGCTGTGGCCAAACTAGTTCAAAGTGCTCACGACCAGTGACCACCTTGTTAACCGCTCTCACTTCTTAGCTGTGTCACTTTAAACACTCACAAGCTGCTGTTATCTTTGTTCTGCTTCCATCCTTGCTCCGCTACAATCCAGTAACCACAAAGTAGCGCCTGAGATGATTTAAAACTGAAGGCAGTGTGCCAGGCCTTCGTTCCAAACTTTCCAGTGGCCCCAGCTTCTTCAAAGAACAGCGTAAGCCCTATAAGGCCCTGAGTCATCTTGCTCCTTTCTGCCTCTCTGACGGGGTTTTTAAGCTGGTTCTGAATGGTTCAAAGCCCTGCTCTCTGGCCTCGTGCACTGTTCTTATCACTCACCCACACACTGGCTTCTCTTTATTCCTGTGTGCCTCAGATGAGCCATGTAAATTGCACACTCAGGTTTTTCATGTTATAAGCCTTCTGCTAGAAGGGTCTCTCCCCTGTTCTCACTAGTCACGTGGCTCTCTCATACTTCAAGTCTCTTCTTAAATGTCACCTTATTAGAGCAGAGACCTTCCTGATCATCAATTCTAAAACACCACTTCCCACCCCTGTTCCTTCTTTCCCCCACTGCTGTATTTTACAGAGCTCACCACCTGGTGTGTGCTAGTCTGCTTACATGTGATCAGCTTTCCCCAGCTGGAATAAACATACCGTAAAAGAGACTGTGTATTGTTTATGCCTCTATCTCCACCCTCTAGAACATGTTGTTGTTGTTAGGTGCCATCGACCAGAACACATAAAGACCCTCTGAACAAGAGATCGGAACCTTGCCCCCTGCGGGTCATCACCATGATCTCGCCTTGTGCAAGCCGGCTGCTGCAGCCACTGCGTGGGTCCCTCCTGCGGGGGTCTTCCCATCTTTCACTGACTAGCAAGCACTTTATGAAAGCATCTGTTGAGTGAATCGGTACAGACTGCCCAAGCCCCTGCCCTGCTTGGATTTGGAGTCAGCTGTGGACTTGGATTTTTGTGGCACTTCCGTAGTTTCTGTGAACATGCATTTTTTCCAAACAATTTGAGAAATTTAAAAATCCCCTTTTACTCTTGCGATATTTCACACTCACTAACTTGACTCATGTGCATAAGTTTATTAGTCAAGAGAAGCGGCACCTCCACTGTGATTCTTGGCTGCACGGCACATGCTGCCACAGGGGTAGCCGCTGCTGTCACACTGAGAGAGGCTAGCTGATGGCAGAAGTCGATGGGAGAGTGTGTAGGTATAAGAGGCTGAAACCATGAAATGATTAGAGAATCATTAAGTAGAATGATGTAATAGAGCTCAGAGACCATGTAATGTGGTTCTTTTCTATTATCTCTACAGTGGCAAGAGAAATAAAGGATTAAACCAAATCAAATCTATTTGTCATGAAATAAGGCAATGTTTTCATGTATTACTAGTCTCATGGGAGAGTCCCAGTGCTTATTAGCATTTATCAGCCGAGGAATTCTGCAGTTTAATCCTTTCTTTGTCAGACTTGTTTGACTAGGGATTCATCCCACTTGTTAATACCTGGAATATCTATGGAACTCCTTGGGGCCAAAGTTCTTCATCTTCCCTTTACTCCGTCATTACTTGTAAGTGCTGTTGACTTAACCTGTAGCAATACTGTGCACAACAGAATGACCCCTACCCAATCCTGCAGTAGCCTCCTATTTTTTAGGGACCACCACACATACCTGATGCTCCCCTAATAAGATGTTAATAACTGCCCTAGGCAAACAGGAAGCAGAAAAAGGGCGTTTTGAGAGGCAGAATCAGGCTTGTGAGGCCCATGACCCCACAGGCCCTTGTAGGTCCAGGAACAATGACAAAGATACAGTTCTCTCTTGATGGATGCAACTAAAATGGCATTATTGGCAAAAGAAGTTTGAAAGAACTTAAGCTAATTTACAGTCTCAAATATAAATCTGAAAGGAAATTAAACTTTTTACAATAAGTATGGCGTCACTGCAGTCTTACAGCTTTTGTGTGCATTAAAGTGCATGGCCCTGCTCCCTTCAGTAGTGATTTATGTGTCAGATGACAAATGAATATTGTCTGAGGCAGAAATAGTCATTAGAAAATGGATTAATAGATTGGGGTGGGGTTTTTTTCTCCCTTTAGTTTGGGGATGCTTCCTCATAAGATACAGCCTGTGCAGACATTTGTGGTCCCACGGATGCATTATTCACCATTTTCTAGCCACATCCTTTTCTTTGAGCATTTACGTTTTATAATTTCCTGGGAAACATTTGCTGTTTTCTTCAGGCATGATGAATGGGCTGTTTCTCAGTTTGTTAAGTTCAGTATGATTACCTTAATCTACCAGAAGCCATAAATGTCAGTACATTCTTCTTACCACCAGAGCTAGCAGTGAATAGCTCAGCCATTGGGAGGGCAGTAATTTTTTTTTAATCAAATTCTCTGGAAGTGACATAAAAGCAGGTGGACTTTACCAGCATCTTACAGTTTAACTATTGCTGGATAATCATAAACTGTTCACCATTGTTACAACCTATGAAAGGTATAATTTATGTCACAACTTACCAAAGATACAATTTATGTCCTTTTCCTTTAGAACAATAAAGAGGTGTATATCTGTATCCCTGGAGATTAGAGTTGGGGTTGGGGTTCAAATACGAAGTTTATAGTTGAATTTACTTGAACTTTATTTCATACTGTTATACTTATTAATGGTAACTCATTGCACATTTGAAATGCTTGATGTAGTAGCAGTGCAAAAGTTAATCATGAAGAAGGAAGACAAGCCTTCAGGGGCGGAGGCAGGGGCGGGATGATTCCCCTCTCCTATTTCTTTCCTGGAAAAAGACATGAAGCTACTACCCTCAGGCCTATTGTAGTCTTTAAAACCGTTAAATTTGCCAAATGAAAACATCTAGATATATTCACCAGGTTTTTCTTGTTGTTTACAATGTAGTAAAAGCAGCCAAAAGTTGAAACATTGAAAAAAAACGACAGTAAATTGACTTTAAAGGCTCTTTTAATGTGTGTAAAGAGTAGAAATGATCTTTTCTGTACCGACTCCCCATAAATTTAATTCACTGGAGCTGGGCTAAGCCCTAGCTAGGAGTGTTGATTTTCACCAGGTTCCTTAGAGAATGCACATGGTCTCTGGGCTCTAATTTGGAAAATACTGGAATAAATACAGTAAAGTCTGTAAAGAGAAAAAAAAATCAGAACAAAAGCAGCTCAAAATCACTCATAGTCATTCAGTCATCAGTTACTGAATGCCAGCCATATTCCACTTAGTAGGAGAGACAAAGAACTAAGTAGAATGCGTTCATCATTCCTCCAGGTGCTGAGTCTAAAAAAATACAGTTAACAAGAAAGCCAGCCTTGAATCATGTATTCTTTTAATTCATTCACTGACTGTTTTTGAGGATGTATGACATACACTTTACTCATGGGGGATAGCCTCTGTTTAAGAAAATCAAGTAGTATAATAAAGTGTAAAATGGCTTTAGTGGCTATGTGGTTAAACATTAGTTATCTGGAAGATTTATTTTGGTGTAACAATCTCTTCTTAATTATTCCTAGTTAGAGCTGATATTGGACCAGAGAGCTATTAAGTTATAGTGAATGCTTTCTAATTATTAAGCAGCTTGTTGTTGTTGTTGTTGTTGTTGTTGTTGTTATGTGCCGTCGAGTCGTTTGCGACTCATAGCGACCCTATGTCCAACAGCCCTAAACTCCGCTCTGTCCTGTGCCAATCGCACTGTCTCTGACACACCCATCCCGATTATCCCAGTCACTGAATCAATCCACCTCATAGACGGTCTTCCCCTCCTGCACTGTCCCTCTACTGTACCCAGCATGATGTCCCTCTCCAAGCAGCTTAGAGTTCAAAATGTGTCTAAATTGTATTAAATCTTCCAAAGTTGTAGTAAGATAGTTTTAAATGTAATGTGTGGAGAATATAAAATATTTTATTCCTAATTGTATGTCATAATGACGAGTCAGGCCCCTGCCTCTTTGCCCCATGTTCCTGTTCAGTGGGTGTAATCGGTATTGTTTTTGAGTTAACAGTGTGTTCAGTCCAGCTGTCCAGAGCCAGCCCGCGCCTGCACAGCCAGGAGTGTACAACAACATGAGCATCACCGTGTCCATGGCTGGTGGCAACACCAGTGTGCAAAACATGAACCCAATGATGGGCCAGATGCAGATGAGCTCCTTGCAGATGCCAGGAATGAACACCGTCTGCCCTGAGCAGGTACGTGGCACGGCCGCACACTCACAGCCCACGTCACATCTTGTCCAGCAAGAGCACCGTTCAGTCTCCCCGGGAAGCCCAGGCTCATCTGTTCCTTCCCGTCATCTCTTGCTCATTACTCACGACTAAGAGAAACCGTCCAAGTTTTGACAGACATTCTAAGATTTCAGTCTCGTAAGATTTTAGTATTTTAAATTTATTATAAAATATTACAATTCATTATCTTGGAATGAAATCTTTCATATTGGCTTACAACTAACCCCTTTTTTATTCTTAAACACATTTTCTTTATTTTCTTCCTTCCAGTTGAGTAAACATTTCTGTAGTGCTTAATGTTTACAAAGATATTTATAAATAAGTGGGCAAAATCAGTGAATTTCCACCATCTGAGCATACACCACAGCTGCCACTCCAGCAGCCCAGAAGCCCTCCGCGTGCCCTACAGTCACTTCCACCCTCACGAGGGAAGCCACCGTCCTGACTTCTAGGACGCAGCAGACTGCAGCTTTTCACTCTTAACTTCCTGTTACTTTCCTGTCCATGAACATGTTCTTCTAGAAGAGCTGGATCTTCAAGTTCAACAGCCAGCTGGTAATTTGGTCTTCTGTTTGTCTTTGATAGATGAGTGATCCAGCACTGAGACACGCAGGCCTCTACTGCAACCAGCTCTCATCCACTGACCTTCTCAAAACAGAAGCAGATGGAACCCAGGTCAGTAAGAAAAGTCCACACCCAGAACTGCCAGGGGCCTTCTAAATGTGCAGGGGCCTGACATCAGGATTCAGACCTGGTATGCTTGCGGGCATGTCACTGAACTTTCCTGAGCTGCTGTATAACCAGCAGAACTAACAAGAGGCCCACTTCTGGGATCGAGAGGGTCAGATGAGCTAGGTTTTCAGAAGCTTTAACTTAGGGCCTCGGTAGAGTAAAGGGATGGCAAATGGTGGTCACAGACCATCAGTTCTAAAGAGAGGGGGAAAAAAGTAAACCCAGTTCTAAAGTTCATTGTGCTCAGAATACCTCAGGAAAGCCCAGGGGATTCTGACAGCAGAGTGTCTTTTATGCACTCCACTTCCTTTTAGAAATTTTTAAAACTAAAAGTAGCAAGGATGACTACTTTTCTTGTATTAATCTACTATATAATTTTTTTTATATTTTAATTCACTTAATAATATATTCTCTAGAGCTTTAAATTTTTTTTATTATTTTTTTCTTTTTTATTATTTTTGTGTGAGTGTACCGTCAAATCAGATCTGACTGGTACAGGAGGAGATTGCCCCTCCTTCCCCGGCAGAGCATCTGGTGGATTCGAACCGTGCGCCTCTGGGATTGTAGTTGCAGCTCCTTACCACTAGGCCACCAGAGCTCCCCTAACCTTTAAATTTTTTTAAACATCAGTATTATGCTAAAAGTTAGCAACATACATACACACACACACACACACACACACACACACACACACACACACGTATGTATATATTCCCTGCCCTTTGTTGCTCTGTGGGGAAAACTGAGGCAAGGAAGCACCAGCTGTGATAAGGATGCTCTTCCAGGCACTGTGCCAGCACCAGACAACTTGGATTGAGGAGCTGAGCAACCAACCCAAAAGCACAATGGTTCAAATCCACCAGCTGCTTCTCGGAGAAAGATAAGCAGTTTCCTCCCATGCGATTAACTGCCTCTGAAAACCCCCTGGAAGGTCAACTGTGAGTCAGTTCTTACTGAAGGTACACCACAACAACAACAAAGCTAACCCTATGTGCTTAATACCATGTAAATCTCATTAAAAGAGCTCTCTTAGCCTAGTGCATTACATATTGTGCTGCTAACTGAAAGATCCACAGTTCAAATCCACCGGCTGCTCCACAGGAGAAGGATGGGCAGTCTCCTCCCAGAAGGATTCACAAAGCAGTGGAGGGTCACTTTGAATCAGAACCGACTCACAGCAGTGCCTGTGTTACCCTATGAGGGAGGTGTTATTCTCCCACCTTTTTTCCAAAGGTTAAGAAACTGAACCCAAGGAGCTTTATCTATATGCACATTTCACAAAACTAGAAAATGACAAAACTGAAGTTCAAACCCAGGTCTTTTCTAACAGGGACAGTCTGTGCCCTTTCTGTCATATCATGTAGGGTCTGTTGAAAAATAAAAGCAAAACAAATACACATACATTAAATTGTTATGTAACCAAAGAAGACTAACTGAAATATGTTACAAGTAAGCAGTACAAACATTGAAAGGTAGGAGAAATTGCTGATGATCAAAAAACCACTTACTTAAGAGCAATTATAAGACAATTCTAAGAAAAAGTAAAGGAGAAGGGGGGTATTGTGGTGGTTAGAGACTGGATTCAGATGTATAGGGGATTGGAAATAGAAGGGAAGAGACAGGATGGCCCTGGAAAGCTGGAGTCTAGTAAGATCACATAGAAATTGGAATTGGTGAGGTAGACTAGGTAGCGTCCCAGGAGCCTTAGACGCTACTCTAAGGGATTTTGACTCAGTGCTCCAAGTGAAGTCATCACTTTAGCAATGGAGAACATGCTAGTTTAGACTCATCCTGGGAACAGAGGACAAGGAGCGTCAGGCGGCCAGCTCGGAGGACAACGAACGGTTCAGAGGCTCTCTCCATGACCTGAGCATCAGCGTGTGTCTCGGAAGAACGGATTTTTGTCTGACAGTCTTGTATTTCAGAGAAAACTATACTGCATGATCACACCTACAGGCCCCTGGATTTAGCAATTTGGCTAAGTAGTAACAACCAACTTTTAAGTCTGAGTGTTGGGGCAGTCTTTGAATTGATGTGAAAACTGTACTGGAAAGTCCTGGGAGCTCACACCATACTTCTCACCTGACCCGTCACAGGCTCTGTTTCCGTGCCACCCTCTGCCTCTCTGTAAGGTATGGCAGTGGCCCCTTAAGTTCTGCTCTAAGGTACAGCGTATCCCTTACCCCCACCCCACAACAATTCAAAATGGTTTGCATGTAGATTTTTTTACAGTTTTCTTTGTTCTTTTCAATTCTTTTTATATAAAAATAGATTACCTTTTTTAAAAAAAATCATTGTTCCTAAAGCAGCAGAATTTTCTATTTTATCATGCTTTAATCAAGACTATGTTTGGGGATACTTTGTGCCATGCCCAAATTTTTCTACATTTAAATATATAAGCAGATGAAATTTTATAGATTGTTCTTTTGAAAAAATACTGTCAATGCCTAAAAGCAATTTTATGAAAATATTTTTTCTAGTATGTTTTGTTAAATTTCAGTGGCAGGATCTTCTTTCTGAAAAAAATCTGTTTACTCCATTGTTTTTGTGGTTGTGGCAAGCAAAGGCTAGAGCAAATGTCAGGTAGAAATACAGAGATGAGACTATAGAAAAGGAGAAGAAAAAGAACAGAGAGGAGGAGTTGGGGATCCTTGGTTTTTGCATTTGCAAAAAGAACTGGTATGCAGAGGAAGTTGAGACAGAGGCACAGAAAAACCGTGACTGCAGACACAGGGAGAGAGCAAGGAGAGGGGTGGTTGGCCTGGGAAGATGGGGTGAAGCTTTGGAAGGAAGAGGAATGAATAGGAAGAACACAAAGGGGAGGGGAGGGCACAGAGTCACCCAGAGAACAGACTCAGATGGGAGAGTTGATATATTTTAGAGACACTAGTCAGAGCCCCACAGAAGAGAACAAAGGAACATACACAGACAAGAAGCAAATGGTCATATTACTAAAGATCTAGTTCATCAGGTGTGAAAAGAAGAGCTCAGTTTAGGGGATGTCTGCTTTCCTGAGGGAAGCAGAGTAGAGATGTAAGTACATTACAGGGACAAGAGTCCAGAGCTAGACAGAAATAGAGCTTTGATAATGGAGACATTTGGCAATTATTTAGTCAATGAAAGTGAGTGGAAACAACTTTTATTAGACTAGGATAGAAAAGACTTTAGAATAACTCAGAATAGTTGGCATGGATTAGTGATGACTGAAAAAAATAGGTCACTAATCTTAAAAAAAAATGAAGGGGCCCTAGTGGCAGAGTCCAAAGGGAGTGACCCCCTAACCCGAAGGTGGCTCACAGCCACCAGCTGCTCTGTGGGAGAAAGATGGGCAGTCTCCTCCCGGGCAGTGTATAGCGTTGGAAAACCCACCAAGAGTTAGCGATAAATACTTTCTGACTCAGTGGCAGTGAATGAGTGAGAATCTGTTAAAGATGACCCAAAGTTTGAGACACTTATTTCAGGATTCGGACAGTAACGTCTGCACACGAGGTCAGCAGCATCCACAAGAGCAATAGTGGCCTTGATCAGTGTCCTACGGAAACTAAAGCTGGTTCATAACTTCTGGCTCTGGCCTGGGGTTTTTCCCCCCAATAGAAAATGGTAGACCTCTGCAGATGTAGACATTTTTAAGCAACACATGTGTATTAATACTAAAGAGTAGTTGAAGGGAAAATTCACACTGTTCCCAGCTAGTAAAAGTAATGTTATTTTAGGTCATGTATTGAAATGGAATTTCAATCAGGAAAAAAGATGGTAAACATAAAATTGTTCTGTAGAAACTTTGCTTTAATCGTAAAGCCAGTACATCCAGGAGTTATGTAATCTATTTAACTACTACACAGATCATCTGGCAATTACCTTTAGTTGTGCTCTTGTCCTTTATTAAGTTGTGGCGGTTTTTGCTAATACTGGGTTAAAGCCTTAACTTTTTCAGTGACAGCATAGAGAATTTTTATTCTAGTAACATGTCGTCCCTGGAAAGTTTATAAGCCCGTTTTCCAAACATCATACTTTTGTGTTTTGGGTTTTTGTTTTGGTTTTTTTTTTTTTTTTTGGTTTTTTTTTTCCAAACCCACCACTGGAGGCCCAGTCTCTGCGCCTGAGCTTCTCCTAATCCTGACAATATTAGCAGTGATGTTCACTCCCAGTGTTGACGGCAACCCTGTAGGAGGCTTGACCATTCCTATTTTGATTTTACTTTTAAAGTGTGAACTTTCCAGAACCCTGAGCAAAATGAGTGCAGCGATTTTCTTTTTGTAGGACAAGAAGACAGAAGAGTTCTTCTGTGTGGTGACTACAGACTAGAGGAATGCTCTAGTGAGTTTCCACTTCCAGTAGTACCCACTCATAAGCCGGGGGGGCAGGCCCTTCTGTCTAAACACATCTCTCATTTGTGTTCCAGCAGGTGCAGCAGGTTCAGGTGTTTGCTGACGTCCAGTGTACAGTGAATCTGGTAGGCGGGGACCCTTACCTGAACCAGCCTGGTCCTCTGGGAACTCAGAAAGCCACGTCAGGACCACAGACCCCCCAGGCCCAGCAGAAGAGCCTCCTGCAGCAGCTACTGACTGAATAACCACTTTTAAAGGAATGTGAAATTTAAATAATAGACTTACAGAGATATACAGATATATATTTTTCTGAGATTTTTGATATCTCAATCTGCAGCCATTCTTCAGGTCGTAGCATTTGGAGCAAAAAAAAATAAAATTTAAAAAAAAAAAAAGAGGAGTTCACTTTTGTGGGGAGATTGAGAGATGTTTTTGTTTCTTTCTTTGTAAAGGCCTTGGATATTGAAGAAAATCTCAAGGCAGAACAGTTGGACAATCTATTTCTTGAGCCAAATTGAATTATTCTTATTTTTGTAACCAGTCATTGGCTTCTTATCTGGATGAAGGCTTTTGGAGGAGAACCAAAATGACAAGTTCCAAGGGAGGACGAAGGTCTGCCTCCGACAGCCCGGCCCCCACCCTGCTGAGGACGGAGGCCGGGGCCCGGCCTGCAGCGTCCACCCAAGGCCCAGGCAGCTTGTGTGTACAATCAGCTTCTTCGAGCAACTCTTCTCTGTTGGCTTCAAAAGAATATTTTGCCTCCACATCTGTACCCCTTCTCCTTTTTTTTAAGAGATGCCTCCAGGAAAGAGGAAGAAATGAGTATATTCACAGAGGAATCCAAAAAAAATACCATTAGGGGGAAAATGCAATAATATTTTGATGCGATGGGTGAAGGACAAGAAGCGGGTTCTGTCAGTGATTGTAGATAACATTTTTCTGATTAAATCTGGAAATAAAAAGGCAGCCTGTTTTTCTGCTTTTATTGTATTAACAGCTAAGGTAGCTAAAGTTATTTAAAATAAAATTAAATTTATGATCCAAGTAGCTTATTTTCTCCCTTTAAATCTCACTGTAAATATATTTGATTTATTGTAGAAAGTTATTTCTTCTTGTTTAATTTTATGCTTTGGTATCATACTCTTTGATTTTCCTAAATTTGTGTGTGGAATGTAACTTTGATTGTATTGCAGTTACATTTGGCGGATAATATTTTCTTATTTTAATAACTGTGATGCCAAGTATGGATTTACTGTGGGATTCACATCACCATGCCACTGCCAGTCACAGCTGTCCTGGACGAGCACGGGCCGGGCCCTCGAGTGTCCGTGCGGCCGGCCGATTTGAGGGCCCTGCAAGGAACTGTCACCACAGGAAACTCATTCTCAAAGGAAATCATCATATTTTTTTAGATTGACTTTGGGAGTTTGAATTTTCATCAGTGCAAATACAAATTTCTCTGTCCTGCTCTGAGGCTAATTGGTACCATGTTGTCCTCCTGTTGCTCTGCCACGTCCTGCCTCCTCCTGGCTTGTGCGTCAAGGACCCGGTGAACTGACTCTGATCCTAGAAGTTCACCTGCGAGGCCAGGAAAGCTTGAGAAAGGCACTGTGGAAGAAGCAAAGGTAGCAGCCATCGCTCACCTTTACCTGCACCCCTGGGCCCGCGAAGGACAACATCACCCGACATTCTGCACCAGCTACCTCTGCTTCCATGGCAGAGAAAAGGCCATAAGAACTCCCCGTGGAAGAGGAGCGTGGACTCAGACTTCAAGGAAGAAGCCATTTTCCCCGGTCCTCCTCTGCATCTCACCATCCCTCGTTACAGGTAACTCCATCGAACAGCATCGATTCAGAAACTGGACCGAATAAAAAGATTTGACAGAAGGGCTCAAATGGGTAGCAACTATGAAACAAATAGGACACTCAGTTACAAACATTATCTCTTTTAGTTTTCCAGAAAATGCATCCCTGATTTCATCCATTCCCAGCTTGACTACCCAGCCATATTACTCTAGTCCCTGCCAAACCGCTGTAGGAGGTCATTTCCATTTTGTTTGTGATATTTAGATGTGCAAACTTCAGGAAGTTCACCTTTAACTTCAGCATTCCAGATGAAGTTTCCTGACTCAGTGCTTTTTGCATAAGGAACTAGAAAAGTGATAAGGAAAATTGGAGATGCTAACATCCTTCCCCATCCCAGCTGCACCTTAAAGTATGCATGTCACCTTTCAAGGTTTTATAATTGCACTGTTTGTTTTATGTATGTACAGATTAAAATTATTGCTACATTTGAGGAAAATAAAATTGCTTGCTTCTATGTAATTCCTGTCATTCCACAGGAAGTTCCCTTTTCCACCTACCGAATAGAATTTGTTTAACAACCTTGCGGGTTGCCTCTTCATTTACAGGGAAGAAATGAAACTTGCACTCCTATAGGAATTGTCAGAGCCCAAAACAACAAATGAGTAGTTACAAGATAATGAAAGAATGGCTCCTTGAAGTCAGAGTTCCTCAGACTCATTCTGTGTGAACCAGCCACTGAACCCTGAGCACACCCAAGTGAGCTTGTGACAGTGGGCCGTGAGGAAATGACGACTTTGGCTGTTTGCCTGATGATTAAGCACCCTGACTCTGTTGTTTCTTGATCCAACAGATCTGATCCACACTCAGGGCTTCAGGGGGAGCTGAAATATACCAGCTCTCTCCCAGTTATTGGTTCTTGCACACTAACAGCTGTCTGTTCAGATTTCAGTCCCACTTAAAGAGGCTCCTTCCTCATGGCAGTGCAGTTCACAAACACTGGCCCCTGGCGCTTCCTAGTGTGTCCTGGCATCAGCCTAAATTCATCAGCACTTGAGTAAATAGGGCAAGGGTGGGAAAAAATGGGTTCGCAAATGCACTTCTAGAGAGCCCTGGAAGAACAGGAAACACACTGCCCTCAGGTCCAGCCTTGGCATGCTCACGTGTCTGAGCAGAACTGTGCTCTGGACGGTTTTCAAGAACTGCTTTGGCTTTTTTAGAATTAGATTGCCAGGCTTGCTTCTGCGGAGCCTCTTGTGGACTCACCTGCCAACCTTACACTTAAACAAGTATAAGCCTCTTGGGGCCCCGCAGTGACACTAGAAGGCAGGGAAGGGTGTATTTCTTCTAACATTCCTACATGTGTACATAGATCTGGTGGTGGTTGTCTGAAATAATTTCTAGAGGAACAAAACCTCCCCACGGCTGGAATGAAGTAAAAAGGCTCTTTCTATTGGCTAAGGCTGGATGAACATTGATTTCAGTGTATCCTAAGCTAAAGGTAGACCATTAAGAAAATAGACCAATGGTTGAAGAAAAGAATGAGGTTGAAAAAAAAGAAACTTCATGGTTTTGCCCCCTGCTCAGCAGCTAGGGAAAATCTAGACCCCAGGGAAAGGAGACTTGTCTGGTCACAGAGGTAGGCGTGCTGATGCCCTCGTTGATGTTAACTCTGCTTCCCAGAAGAGCAGCTTCTCTTGAGTAACGTGAATAATTCAGAGCAGGCTCTCCCCTTGACCACTCTGTGCCTCTGAAGAGCCTGATGACTTAATTAAGCCATGCAGTCTCTTTATTGGAGAGAACTGTCAAATGCAGCATTCCTCCATTCAGAACCCTTTCTGCCAGAACTAAATTAGCTTGCTTTAGCTTTACACCCACCAGAGCTCTTAACAAGATTAAAAAAAATACCAAACTGTGACCACATTTATTCGTGCAACACATTTTATTGTCTTCTTTACCCAAGGCCTTTTGAGATGGCCGGATCCAGTTGGCATGGGCCTTGCCTGCCTGGAGTGTACACTGGGGACGTTGTAATTGTGATCACAATGGAATTAAGTGGGATGAGAGAGAATGCAAGTTGTTTTATAAATGAGACCTTGTGTAAGGAGCCAAGATGGTTTCCTTGAGGAAGAAATGCTGTTGGAAGTGACTTCTGCAGGATGATGAGGAAGTGGCGTGGAGAGAGAGATCTTCCAAGAAACGGGGGTGGGGGGGGCAGGGTGTGCATGTGTAAGCCTGGAAAGAGCCCCAGAGAGCTGGATTTTTAATTGTTAACCAATTTAATAATGAGCTCTCATAAACATGTTACTAGGATTGTGTCAGCTGATGAGCCAAATGTAATTTAAATCAACCTTTGGCTCCAGAAGAAACGTAAAGTAGGCTTTGGGATTTTCATATGGAAATTAATGCTAGCTGAGAGCTAAGTTCGCATCTCTCCTTTCTGGCTAGAAGTAGAAGGTTCCATACCTTCTTCACAATAGTCTCTAACGGCTAGTGGCAATATTTAAGCCATTGAGAGAAAAATAAAGCTGTACTGCACCAGTTGCTGAAAGGTGTGTACCACCTCAGTTAATTTCTGGGAGGAATTATAAAGAAAACCAGCTCTGCCAGGCTGTGACGTGAGCACTATTACCAGTGGAGTTGAAACATAAAGCCAAGTCTTCTCGATTCCCCCTCGATTGTATAATTTTTGGACTGATTTCTTGTTTGTTGATGTTTAACGGCATGGAAAGACCTGAAGCAATACTTTCTTAAATGATGAAACTAAAGAATGGGCTTTGTGGGGAAAGGGAGATGAGAACTGTGAGCAATTGTTTAGCGGAACCCACCCAGAGCAGACCCTCCACTGGGTGTTCAGAGGCAGATAATCACAGGAGGAGGTCACCCATTCTTCTGCAGGCCAGTTGGTAGATTCAAACCATGTGCCTTTAGGATTGCAGCATAGATCCTTACCACTAGGCCACCAGAGCTCTTTGAACTAAATGGGAGTGATCTTGGTCAGGAGGGTGGCTCACTGCAGTTTTGAGAGAAGTATTCTGTGTGTGTATCTGAAGAGGGAGTGAAGAAAGCGTCATGAAACCATCCTGTTGTCACCTTAGCTTGCAGTGACTTGAAAATGTGGATTCTGCATGGAAGAGTTCTAATAAACGTGATGGCAGGACCAGCACACAGGTCTACCTTTCTCCTGTGGAGCAGCTGGTGGATTTGAACCACATGCCTTGAGATTAACAGCATAACTCCTTACACACCGGGTCACCAGATCTCCCTGAAAACAATCGTATAGTTCTGTACTGTCAACTTGGAACCTGCGCATAGCAGACCCTCCAGCGTGTGGGTTTTCAGAGGCTGTAAACTGCATGGGCAGAGACTGCACATCTTTGTACTGTGGGAGCATCTGGTGGGTTTGAACCACATAACCTTTGGGTAAGCAGAGTAGCTCCTTACCACTAAGCCACCAGAGCTCCCTGGCAACAATCATTGCTGTTATTAAGTATCAAGTCAACTGATAGCAACCCTGAGAACAACTGATCTACACCCTGTCCTGGAGCCTCATGTCTGACATACTCGAGCCA